GTAACGGTCTTGCTATCAATTGCAGACGTTTAATTAAAGACTCTGCAAGGCCATTTTGAGTGTAAACATGAGCTACAGGATGTTCACTTCTATCCCAATTGCTAAGCAATAATCAATAAATGATTGGGATGAAAACTCAGCAGCATTATCAAGTCTAATAGACTTAATTGGATTATCGGAAAATTGTACCTATAATCGGATTATTTGTGCCATTAATTTTGCAAACGCGAGGTTGCGAGATGACAATAGGCATACATGAGACCATCTAGAAGATGCATCTATTAAGACCATAAAATATCTAAACGACCTACTAGGTGGGTGAATAGGTCCACAAATGTCCCCTTGTATACGTTCTAAAAACGCAGGGGACTCAATCCCAACCTTTGTTGGTGATGGTCTTATAATTAACTTGCCTTGATAACAAGAAGTGCAAGAAAATTCATTATTTAAAAGAATTTTCAAATTCTTTAATGGATGCCCATTTGAGTTTTCTATGATTCGTCTCATCATAATTGATCCAGGATGGCCCAATCGATCATGCCAAAGTACAAAAGTATTGGAAGCAGTAACCTTTTGGTTTAAGGTAGAATGTGCCTCAATTGCACTAATTTTTGTCCAATACAGGCCACAAGATAAAGATGAGAACTTCTCAATAATTCTTTTCTGGCCAGAGACATTCTTGGTAATGATGAGATATTCCATATTATTCTCATCTATTGTCTCAATATGAAATGAGAGAAAGGTGAGATTCTCATCTAGTAATATCTGCCTTATACATACTTAAATGAGAGAAATATTTCTTCTCTTTGAATATTGCATGTGTCGTACATGAATCAATTAAGCAAATATTTTTATAATTGAACTTTGATCCAAGTTTGCTTTGAAAGATATCCATATTTACTTAATTTTCTCAAAGATCTTCGTGAGATGGTAGAGTCTCGTGCTGATAACGTATTATAAAATATAACCCAAAATAACAATATAGAACAAGCAAAAACAAACTAAGAGATATAGAGAGAAAGAGAGGAAGAGAGATTCTTATTTCTTCTTCAATTGTTTGTATTTTCCTATCTATTACAAGGCATTTATATAGGCATAAAAGTGAAGAAAATATGTCATGGAGTCATTGAACATACAAAATATGTCATTGAATATGTCATTAAACATTTGAGATGAAGATCATGGAAGAAGAGTAGACATCCAACATAATGTGATATTTATCATAACATATTAGCTTTTAACATTATCGGGGGAACAGGATTTTTGAGAGAAGAAAACAAAATTAAGAGGAAGGTCAAACAAAAATTAGTGAAGAGATTTCAGAGAGTTTCAAAAGAGCTTTAGGAGAGACGAAGGTTCAGTTCGAGTTTGGGGATCCAGTTCGCGGTTACAATTTTTGCTCATATGTTGTAATTGTCGGATTTTTCTCAAAATATATTGAAAAGCTTCACTGCAAAGGTTTTTATTCCTCTCTTGCTTAGTTATTTTATGTGAACAATAATCTGTGGAAGATTTTAGTTCTATTGTAGATTTGTTTGTTGAGATACAAGCTACTGTTTTAGCATTGCTTTTAAATATGAAAATCTCTACGTTACTTTTGAATATGAAGATTTCTTAGTCACAATGTTTAGCTTCTGTAAAATATAAAGCATTCTTGAAGGAGTTGTTTCTAACTAAAATAAGTTGTAGTAAATATAGTTTCATTAGTTTGTCAGATTATTTATCGTAATTGCTTTAGAGTGATGTTAGCTATTTTAATTCAGTTTGGGGACATAGATACTTTTTATTTCACCATAAGAAAAATAGTCAAGAATTCCATAAGTTTTCTTTTATTTTTACTTCTTTTTTTTGTAAGAAACTTTACTACATTGTAAGAAATTTTGGCTTTGCTCTAATAACAGGCAAGTCTGCAGAATCAGTTTAATGGAATTTTCTATGGCTTCTCTCAAAGCTTAATTCACCTTTGCTCTAAATAATAATTATAAATATGTTTAGTTTTATGTAGTTTGAACATTTTTCTTACATTATTGCTGAGGCATTACTGGGAAGTTATTAGTAGCTAGGTTGTATGGATTTAAAAGTACTAACCAAATAGTGGGTTACAAAAAAAAGATTCTACGCTCAAAGTTATTGAAGCTATAAGTTGGCTCATTTTTCCCGTAAAATAAATACGGTACATCAACTCCAAAAATATTAAGCCGAATAATAGAAATATACAATTAAATATCTCAAATATAAAAGAGACAAAATAATTAAATATTCTAAAATACGCTATTAGCTCATGTGTTCATACTCGAACCTTGGATTGATACGCTTAAAAAATAAAAGGATCATGTGCGCATTCTGTGCCTTGATACCTTTTAACTTCACAATAATTATGCTTTCACCATGTGTACATTTTCGTACCTTTGTTTAACATCCAACTTCAAAGAAGAATACCTCGTGTGCATACTGCATCTTGATGAAAACAGTTAATAAAATATAATAATTAATTAAGCGGTAGTAGGCAAACCACAACCAATAAATTACAAGAATAGCCATCAATTGATTTAAGCCTTACATAGTCAATAAAAGAGACTGTGCTAGAACCACGGGACTCGATGGGTGCCTTACACCTTCCCATTGGTCAACAGAATTCCTTACTCAGTCTTCTGTTTTCGTAGACCATAAATTAAGAGTCAAACCTTCCTTTTGAAAGAGGATTCAAATAAAAGGTGACCTGAAACACTAAAACTCAATTCCAATTGGTGACTCCAAATAATAAATAATCCCTTTTTAAAAAAGAGACATCAACTCTTTACGTTGCTCGAACTGTAGAGGGGTCTTACAATGTCAATGTGTATGTTAGCACAACAGTAGCAGATGATCAACCAGCTTTCACTTTGTCTTTAGTACTTTCTGCATTCCCGATGCTAAAGATACTACTCAATCCTCGTGTTTTGGCATGTCGCTCCAGTTCAATAACTCTGTTCTTAAGAAACTCAATCTCTCTACTCAGCTCTTCATCTCGCTGCTTCATTGCCTAGAAAAGCAAAGAATTTATGAATTAGTTTAACATGGAAATATAATAGGGGGCTGTGATATCCGTGATATTAGTTCCTTGCAATAGAAATTTTTAGTAACATATCTCCTCAATTAAGACAACATTTGTATCTCTGCTCATGAACCATGAGTAAAATGCTTAGCTCATTGCAGTATTAAAGAAAATAAGGTTGAAATAAGTGGCGGAGGGGGTTCAAAAAAAGGAAAAAGTTAAAGAAGGTTGTAGCCGGTGGGAATAGAACCAATGACCTTACAAAGGTTTTGAACCCCCTTGACCACTAAACTATGCTTCTGGGCTGTGTCAAGGGGATTCAAAACATAATATATAAAGGTAAAAAACAAATTTTGCAGTATAAGTTTTCGACGAAGGGAGTTCGATGAACACCCTTTCGCTCCCTAAATCCGCCCCTGGTTGAAACAGTAAATAAGGTGAAAAAAATAAAAAATAAAAACAGCTCTAAAAAGTTTCAAGTATAGCACACCACCAAGTGAAAAGGTAAATTCACATTCATTGATGGTTTCATTTATCCAGTTGAAAACTATGTAAGTTCAATATTAAGTGTTTCTGACTAGGTGCGGTGTGGAGAAAATCTCAAACAACCTAAACTTACGACAGGAAATTAAGTCGTTAACTCAAAATCTAATAATACGTCATAGTGAAGACACTCACCTAAACCTGATCTTATCCATGTGGAGAGCAATAATAATTAAATACGTGCTTATTTTTAGCATCTCAGTTGAGATGTTTCCTCTCGATCTTTAAATTCATTTCTATGAGTTCTATGGAGAATATTTTATCTATTTTCATAAAGAAAATAGGGTGTAGGGAGAGGGACGTGGTAAATTTTTCAGGCACAAGAAGATCATTGTTATGAATGTCGATATGCACCTCTAGTTCCTGCTTTCGAAGTTCCTCCTTTCTAGCTTCAGATCTGGAACTTCTTTGCACCTCAAAGATAACAGCAGCTCCAGCCACCTAATTAAACAGATTTTTAACAAAAAAGAAGCATAAGTTGATGGATTCTGCCTTTGGTGGAGAAAGAAGAGAAGACTGAACAAGGTAATCCTATCCACATTCTAAAAGGAGCAGCTACGACATTCTGCTGCAGATCAAGCAAATCCAAATTTCACTTTTCAGTTCACATCTATACACGTAGTGTTTTCGGTGATGCCAAATATGTATGGGAAACCAAAAAAAAGAGAAGGAAAACGAAGAAGGTGCCACACCAGCCCATCTTCAAGTTAGCTTCACTCAACCAAATCAAGCCATCTTGAGCAGTTGGGATTTGGATTCATAAATTGTAGGTTTCCATCGTACTAGAGAGGCAGTTTGATAACCCAACTACACGAGCTCCGTAACAGAAACAGAAACATACGATCACATGATGCCAGTTCAAATGCTTTCAAAGTTTTAGTTTGTCACTGGATATGAAATTTTCTAACGGATCAGATATCAAATAGTAACAGTAGATTCACAATTAGAAGGCACCATATTGATACATTTAACCAACACTTCCTCCGTCCCAGTTTGTGTGATTAGTTTGATTTGGCTCAATTATTAAGATAAAAGCTGAAACGTGAACCATTTACTATTTGTAAAGAAACATGTGAAGCCATTTTTAATTTTGTGCTGCAGAATAGTGGCCTAGATGAGCATGGACTAACGGTCAATGAAGCTGGAACGAGAACCATAGGAGCATAGGGTTCAAATCCTAACAGAGGCAAAAGGCACAGTGGTTTCTTCTCATTTGTTCAGCCTAAACCTTGACGGGTAGAGTTACTCACTACCTATACCGGTGGAAAGATGCAAGTATCAATATCTATATATTATATTAAAAGGAGAGGAATAAGCCCTCTCCTTAAGCCAAGTGACAGCCTAGAAAAAAGTCACATAGCATAAGTAGTTAATAATTAGTTATCTATATATTATTAAAAGGAGAGGAATAAGCCCTCTCCTTAAGCCAAGTGGCAGCCTAGAAAAAGCCACATAGCATAAGTAGTTAATAATTAGTTATTTGGTTAATAATTAGTTATTGGTTATTGGTTTTGAATTTAAATTTCTATAAAATAATAAAATAAAATATTTTATAATAAAAACGAAAATTAAAAAAACTGTCCATTCAAATTGGAGAGTAGTTTCAAGTTGGAGTTTTAAAATTATTTTAAAATAAAAAATTAAAATTACACAAAAAAAAAAAGAACTGCCAATTTAAAATTTCTTTGTTTTTTTTAATATTTTTTTTTTCTTTTTAAAAGGAGAGGAAAAGTCCTTCTCCTTAAGCCAAGTGACAGCCTAGGAAAAAGCCACATGGCATAAGTAGTTAATACTTAGTTATTTGGTTAATAATTAGTTATTGGTTATTCTTTTTGAATTTAAATATCTATAAAATAAGAAAATAAAATATTTTATAATAAAAAACGAAAATTAAAAAAATTGTCCATTCAAATTGGAGGGTAGTTTCAAGTTGGAGTTTTAAAATTATTTTAAAATAAAAAACTAAAATTACAAAAAAAATAAAAAAACTGCCAATTTAAAATTTCTTTGTTTTTTATATTGGTGGCCATATCCTTTCTTGGAACTTAACACTCCATGGGCACCTTTGTGGTATCTTGGTTTGGCTGCGGTCCACATCCCCTGTTATGGAATATATGCTCTGCTAATCAAAGCAAAGGGCCGACTGTTCTCGAGAATGTTTCCACAGACATTTCTTAGGTCATATTATTGATCTTCCTGCCGTTTATGAAAACGCAAAAAGGCCCAACAGCCCCTAAACTTGCATCAGATTTTAAAGCCGGAACATCAACTTTGGT